ATTAATTAACTGAAAAATAAACACCCAACTTAAAAAATATATAAAAACAACAACAAAAAAAGACATTAAGCACTTGCAAAACTGACTAAAACAAAAATAGAAATGTTTAGTTTTAGATTGAGTCGATGGATAAAGTTTTGTTTTGTTTTGCTTGAGACGTTTGCATAACTGTGAATCACCTTACTTTGTAAAATGTATTGAAATACTGGTTCTGATTTGGTCAAATTTTACTGATGGACAGCAAACACAAAGGTTCTTCTACAACCCCAATTCCAAAGACGTTTGGATGCAGTGTAAGCTGTCAATAAAAACATAATGTGTAATTTGTAAATCCCAAAAAACCCATATTTTATTCACATGAATGGAGAAAATTTACCTTTTTATGGAAAACTGAATTCATTTTAAATTTCATGACAGAAACACATCTCAAAAAAGTTTGTGCTGGTTCATGTTTATCATTGTGTAGCATCCCTTCTCCTATTAGGCAGTCCATAACAATCTAGGAACTGAGGAGGCCAGCTGCAGGACTTTTGGCAGAGGAACGTTGCCCCATTCTTCTTACCAGTCGTCTGCACTGCAGGGTACGGAAGATACGGAAGAGGATTAGGGCCACTGGAAAAAAAAAAGAATTCTGACTTTAATCTGAGAATTCTGAGATTAAAGTCAGAATTCTTTTTTTTTTTTCCAGTGGCCCTAATCCTCTTCCGTAGCAGGCAGATCAGTTCAGCACCTGGAATCTTTCACTATGAAGCCATGTTGTTGGAGTAGATGCAGTATGCAGTTCGGCATCTGGCTGTGAAGATATGTTGCTCTAAAATATGCAAATACTTTTCAGCATTGATGATGCCTTTTTAGATGTGCCTGCCTAAAACGGCATAGCCTGCATTTATGAATGACACGGTGAACTGCATTCATAGATAGTGATTTCTAGAAGTGTTCTTGGGTCCATGCAGTGATTTCCACGAGCGAATCATGCCTATTTTCAATGCTGTGCTGCTCGACGGCCAGAGTATCACAGACATCTAATGTTGAATGTCTTCTTTGGCCTTCTTCCTTGCGCACAGAGGTTTCTCCCGATTTTCAGAATCTTTATGTATTATATAGATGATATATACTGTATTTAAATAATGTATGTTTTTTCATTCAAATACATTAAGTCAAATTCTTTCTAAACAGACAGTTTTTGATTTATGGCAGATTCGAGAATCTTAATCTCTGCTTTCTGTATTCTGTTGTTAATAAGATATGTGCTTATAAATCATTGCATTCTGTTTTTATTTACTTATATGCAATAACCCAACTTGTTTGGAGTTAGAGTTTACATTCCCATGAATAGTAGGGTTAGTTTGTTTTCTCTGTTTGTTATTGCAAAACCAGTTAACAGGGGTTTGTTTGTTTATTTGTTGCAATTTCTGCTAACATTTCATGTCATTAATGTATCAGCCATATTTGTGTAAAGCCAGAAGTCAAGACTGTTACATGAAAACGGTAAAAAACAGTTTATGTTTATGTACTGCTTAGAAATGTCAGTAATAGTGCAGTGGTTGTTAAACACCCATACTAATCTTTAATCTGACCAAATAGCCTCCTGTGGTGTAAACTAACAATTCTGTGGTTTTAAATGCATTAAAGCTCATGTTTGGTGAGGATTAACCCCAGTGCAGAAAAGAAAACAATACTCCGGGTCACTTGCATTCAGCTCACAGTTTTTGAGAGGGTGTTATCTCCATGTTTATCACATTTTACAGGTGAGCCCATGCACAGTTGAGAGATTATCCAAGTAAAAAATTCTTAGACATGCCGAGACTGATCTGAAACACAAACTGTAGACCCCACGTGGATGCACACCATCTGGGCAGCTATATAACTGTCGGCATAAGCAATCAGCAGACTCAGAGTTCCTCGTCGTCCCAACGAACACTTTAAACACTTCGGAGTAAGAAGAAACACCTTTGGCATCATGTCCAGGATCACCGCGGTAACGATCTTGCTCGTCATTCTCATCAACAGCTTGTGCAGCAGCGCAGGTGCGCAACGATTATTCTTTTTCACTTGTTCTGCAGAGATGTAGATGTCACAGTTTTACTCTGCAACATGGCTGTAAACAGGTGACTCTGTTAAACTGTAGACTGTGACACTGGTGTTATACAGAGCTGATGGGTAAGGTATCGCTGCTCCACATGACTGATGTCTTATTTGTTATCTTCTTCCACTGCAGCTCCTTCCCATGGAGTATCCCTGTATATTCGCAAGTGCAGATGCACAGGTGAGTGACCAGTGACCACTTTCATCTTCTTTGCGTAAAAAAAAGCAAAACAAACAAAAACAAATTTAAAGACACAAAACAAATATCTTAGTTCTTTGTGTTGCTATGGGCGTATGTGATGGTGTTTCCAATTGAACATTTAGGGAATTTTCTCCTAAGTTCTCTGCTATTAAAAACATTCCTTTTTTATGTGGAGACAGTTACAGTGACCAGCTGTCTTCTCTTGCAGAGATTTCCACAGGCAGGTTTAAGTGTCCCAAACCGCTCGTGCCCACAAACTACAACAAGCAGCGAGATGTGTTTAAATGCGCCTGCAAAAAAATACAAGAAGAGAGTAAGTGAAACACGATCCCGTCAAGAGAGATGTTTCTCTTTCCTGTGATAATATTCAGTAAATATACGAAGTTGTCATCATTTTTTTTCTTTTTTTGTCTTGTAGAGCGTTCAGATCTTCTGCGGTTCTGCCGTGTGATCAAGAAATACAACCTTGCTGATCTGCTCTGAGATAAAGAAGTCCAGACACTGACTAACCAAACTTAATATCCTATTACGTATGACATTAATCTTGTTATGTAGATGGTTGTGATTTTTTCTGAAATTGTAAATAAAGACAGTTATTTTTTTTATTACATAGAGTCTCGTCTCCTTTTGTGTTTCCACATATTTACCTGAAAAAGCCCTCAACCTTGAAAACAAATAAAATGAACATTTTTAATATCCTATTATTCATTTTTTGTCCTTTTTTTAGTATTTTGAAATTTTAAAAACATGAAAGAGAAGCAATTCTTGTTATATATGATCTGGTCTCACTCTGAAATGTGTTCATAGATTTCACAGAGACAATGACATAAATACACTGATTAATAGTGAATCATTTCTATGGAGGATTACTTGTTTCCCAGCTGCCTGGCCTCCAATCGTCATGTTGAACTATAGTAAAAGAAGTTCAGCACAAAAGTGAGAGTGGTTTCTATGTCACCCAGAGTTAAACAAGACATTAAATGGACATTTTTCCCTAAATATCATCAAAGTGTGTGTTGCTTTAATGGCAGGAATGCTTGTGAAATAAATGACTCATTTCTTCAATGCTGTTACAAAACCCTCACCACACAGGCAGGAATGTCCACTGATATATAAACTGATGATAACGTTCATCTTCTTTTTTTTTTTAAAGGTTTATTTTTTTATGCCTTCAACTGAAAACAACAATAAAACAACAAAATCAAGACACAGAATCACTTTTCACATGTTAGCCTCACACGTCCTGTTCTTGTCTTATTGTCAGTTACTGTTAATAATCAGGTCCTACATTTCTGAGCAGACATAATATATTTTCAGGCTGCAGTATTTTTAATGCTACTCGAGCTGATTTCTGTTAGCTGTGGCCCCTGAAGAAGTAGACAAAACCTTTGTTTGATGGAGGCATCGATTCACAACTTTATCTGCCAAGACAAAGAGAAATTCAGATATCAGCACACCAGCGCTGCATATGTGGACAATAGGACCTGCCTTTGCAAATCATTTTGTGTAACTTTCAAACTTTAATAGTCATTATTTCCTTGAGTTGAAAGCACTAATGAAAACAAATGACATTAGCCCATTGTGTCAACACAGGCACACTCTCTGTCACTGAATAGTGAAGTAAAACCTGTGGGTTATAAGTCCTTTTAGAGTTTTACCTGTGAACTCCAAATCCTGCAGGTCAGCAGTGATAGCAGTCATGGGAACACAGAGGCTTGTTTTTCCAAACAATACGATCTATCTGATTTCAGATTTGTAGCAGAACTCTGCAGGCAAAGCACCATTTTGTCTCTAATGTTCATCAAAGGCTTGTAGAAGCAAGTCCACTTGGCGGTAGCCATCTTGGCAACAATTTCATGTAGTTTTTTCCAGCTAAACAAAAAAGAAGGGGTCATATCCAGAGCATTAAAACATTAAAACTCCATGTATGGAGTGTCCAATCACATCTAACAAATAAATTAACCAATAAACAGTCCAGTGCAACAACATGTCTGGCTCATTATCATTTAGAATGTACTACCAAATGATTCTTTGGGTCTAGTGGGTCTTACACTAAACTCTCCTACACACATCTGTTCAGGATCCATTGAGTCTCTCTATGATGAAGCCTGGTTTTAAATTTACACCTCAGTGATGCCACCGTGCAAAAATTGTTGCCAGCACTCAGTTTTCCAACGATTTGGATAAGTTCTAAGATTTTACAGATGAATCCATGCAGAGCTGAGATAGCATCTGAATGAACAAACAAACAAGAAAACATCCCCCTTAAACATGTCAGGACTGATCTGTAAGTTCAAGCTCCTCACACCGTGTCAGCGTGGACTCACTGCGGGGGTATAAAACTCAGATCCTCTTCTTCTGCAGAAGAATCTGAACACGTCAGACGGAACAGACGAACCTTCGCCACCATGTCCAGGATCACAGGGATGACGCTGCTGCTCATCATTCTGGTCAGCAGCCTGTGTGATAGCACAGGTACATACGAGGATCATTAGTTTTGAACTTTATATGCATGGATGGTTATGTTGCTGTTTTACTCACCAACGGGACGATAACTAACTGACTCATTTTAAATGTAAACTATTGTGCACCACTGCCCGTGAGTTTGAGAGGAAATGTTACACGCGGTTGATGGATAATGTTTTACGTTCGTATAAATGATTTCTCACTTGTTTGCTTTTCTTTTTCACTGAGGGCAGAGTCTGTTGCTCAGATTCTCAGATGCAGATGCACAAGTAAGTTACCAGCAGTTTTGGCCTGTATGGCCTGTATTTGTATAGCGCTTTTACAAAACCCATTACAGTTTTGTTTGGTAATGTCATTGTTGCAGTTGTAACTGCAACAAAACACACAAACACCAACATTGCAGTCCTCAGTGCTGCTATGATGCTACATTGAAGTGTGTCCTATCTTGAAAAGATCGACTGCAAATCTGTGCCGTTGTAAACGTTACCATGATGCCACATAAAGTTGGTTAACTGGCAATGACTGAAGTGAAATGGTTTCAGTGACCACCTCTATTCTCTCTTGCAGAGTCTTTCAGGGGCAAACTTAGGTGTCCCCAACCACTCCTACCCACAGACAGCAAAGAGAAACAGGCTCTGAACAAATGCCTCTGCAGCTCAGGAAAACAAGGCAGTAAGTGAAATGCAGTCATGTTTGTTTGAGGTTCATGTTTCCTGTAATAATGTTCAGTAAAGATATTTAAGTTGGTGTTGTTTAATTTTTGTCTTTTGTAGAGCGTCCAGACCTTCTGCGATTCTGCCACAGAAGTGTGTTTGGGGGAGCTGCCACACCGCTCTGACATAAATCAGTGGAATTATAAACGAACTTGATATAAAATTACATTTTGTATGATATTAATCTTTTTATATGTTTGTGAATTTTCTACTGCTGTAAATAAAAAACAGATCTTCATCAGAGTTTTGTGTTCATATTGTTGTATGTATTATTATATTGTTTTTTTGGTTCCATCGTATATTTACAAAAAATGAGATCAGTTTCAGTTCTTCCATTCAAAATTACATTAAAGTTAAAGGAAAAGGGAAGGATTTTCCCTGATGTCATTAGCACGCATAGCTTTGAAGCCATGTGATGGTTATGAAACTGTGGTTATGTCTCACCGCGGATGAAACAATCGCCACTGTTACATAGAATTATGCCTTTTTGTCTCCACACTGCATTCTTTTTCATTTTTCTAATTATTCAGTTCAGTTATTTTATTTCTATAGCGCCACAAAGTTGTCTCAAGGAGCTTTATACTTTTTTATAACAGGATATAGAATTATTCCAGCCTGTCCCCCTTTTCAGTTCTCATCTTGTTTCTTCTTGTCAGTTCATACTGTTAATAGTCAGGTTGTATATTTTTAAAGAGACGACTATGCAAAAGGTTTGAGGCTCCTCTCATTTCTTTACATTTTTCAAGGAAAAGAGGAAATAGTCATAGTGAGTTGAAATATGTTCAAACATAGGTGGGAACACAATATATACTTGTGTACAATATACAAAACTAAATGAGTCAAAACCAGATGACAATTCTAATGAGCTTGAAAGTCAGAATTTGGTATGGCCGGTTTTATCCTTCAACACAGACTGAACTTTGTTGGGCAGCTTTCTTGTAATTTCTTTAAGTAGTCTTCAGGAATAGTTCTCAGGCTTCTTGAAGGACATCCAAAGCTCTTCTTTGGATGTTTGCTGCCTTTTGTTCCATTCTCTGTCAAGATGATCCCACATTGTTTCAGTAATGTTGAGGTCCAAGCTCTGGAGAGGCCAATTCATGACTGATAGTCTTCCATTGTGTGTTTCTTTCTGTCCAGGTAGGCTTTGACTGGATTAGATCATAATCATGTTGCAAATTATCAATCAGTTTCTTTCCAGATGGCCCCAAAAGGTTGATTCTGTTCATCTGGATGTAGCATCAAATGAATTGTTTATGAGGTTGGGGAAACCTGCAGTCAGCTGAGACTGAAGAAGTCAATTGGATCATTTAAGAAACGTTTCTCCCACTGGAAACACTACGTCCAGATGAACAGAATCAACCTTTTGGGATTTACTTACTTAGATGATTGAGCATGCATCAAGACTGTCTAGATGCTCTTGCATGTTAGATTAAAGACTGACAGTAAATTTCAATGTTTATAATTCTGTCAATTTTGAATAGCACCAACACCACTGTCTAAAATGCAGCTCCAAACCATGACAACCATGTTTTACAGATGGCTGTAAAACCCTGTTGTGCCTCTCCTCCCCTTTTCTGTTCATGCTAAAAATTTTGTTGCATTTGTTCAACTGCATTGGACAGTTTTTGCTGTGACATTTAGATGGTAGAGTCAGAATTTGATATAAACACCATGAAATTGGGGATTTTACTGGAATTTTGCTTTCTAAGTTTAAACTAAGAAAATAGGTGTTTCCCAAAATGACAAAGTCTAGCTTTGCTTTATTTCACAACTATTGCGTTTTGGTTGTGAAATGAGAACATTACTCTGTGGGCCTGTGAAATATTAAGTACAGTATTACAACAGATCACCACAGTATAAAACACAATATGAGACTGAGTTATTTTTAGTGCTTTCTATCTTCTATGAAAATATTAATGTCCTTTTCACCATTCCCCTCTCTTCTTTTCTAGCTATTTCTTGTCAGTTGTGCTGTCAATAATCTCCATTTTCTTATATTTTTCATACCCACCTGTTTACTGCCTACGAGGAATGTCACCTCTTTTAATCTCTTTTATGATCATTCGTCTCAGCTTTAGCCCTGATGCAAGAGAAGAACAGGTTCTGTGTGATAAGGGTAAGTGTTAGTGAATGGGCCTTTCCTGTTAAATGTTTTGCACACTTCAACAAGAAATGAGAAATCAGATATCATAGTGGAGACATTGTTTGTGGTGAAATGGTTTACCAAGAATAATCACTGGAAACCCTGTTCAGATGGTGAAATTCCAAACTACTAATTTTCTAAATTAGAGGTGTTGAGTTATGCAATCGTTTTATTTTACACAGCTTCCTACAAATTTTCGTGTCTAAACTACTTTTTACACTTTAACCAACCTCTCACTGGACTCAGCACACTGCAGGTCAGCAAGGCAAACTGTTATGAGAACAAAAAGGCCTGTTTGTCTCGTTTCACCCATATTTACACCAAAACATTACAGTCAGGTGGTGACTTATGAGCAGCATTCAGATATGTAAGTAAAATAGGGAAGAGTAAAAGAAAGAAAAAGTGAAAAAGAGTAGAGCACAAAACTTGGCTTACAACGGTTTGGATAAGGTGAGTCATCTATTCTATCATGTCTGGTTGAACATTTCCACACTCTCTGGAACAGCGATGTGAATTATTCCTCAGATGGAAGGCTGCCTGTAACCCGGTCTGCTCCTGTAACAGAGTTCTAGTGGAATATTTTATCTCCTCGGGGACTGAAATGTGGCTGAAGAGATAAAGCTAAATAACAGCTTATGTTAAAAGACAGCAGTGTTTAATACTTTAATGAGTGAGGGACAGCTTGCTCCTGAGGTCACAAACAAAAAGTTTGCTAGTTTGTACATCTGTACCTGTTTTTTTGCTACAATAACTACAAAAATGTTCACAGGTGTTTATTTTCCTAATTCCTAAGCTATTGATAATATAATTTCATTTTTGAATGAGGGAATGTCTCATTTCTGTGGTGACCTCCCGACTCAGGGAGTTTTATACTTTGTGGATCAGGCAGGGGTCGGGGTGGAAATCCTGGTGACCCTGAGCCTGGTTTCTGGTTAAATCTGGCTTTAGGAGTATGAAATATGACTTCTGGTAGAAGAGGTGGTGAGCAGAAGTAGGTAGACTTGTATTTGTCCAGTTTGGTACCTGCAGATTGGATTTTTCACCCCCACTGGATTAGAGAATTGCTTCTGTGTGCCTTGGACCTGGATCCTGGAACAGGTCCTGACTGTCATTTGTGCTCATGTGCCATATCATGTTTGTACTCAACCTTCTTTGAGTCCCTGGGCAATATGTTTGAAGGGACGCATGATGGGGACACTATTGTTCAGCTTCAGTGCTCACATGGACAATGACGGTGTGATTAGGAGGGAAGACCTGAGTGATCTGAATTCACGTGGTGTTTTCTTGTTGCACTTCTGTGCTAACCACAGTGTGTCAATTACAAACACTTTATTTGAGCATAAGACTGTCCATATGTGCACTTGGCACCAGGATGCCCTAAGACACAGTTTGAGGATTGATTTTGTAATCTTATCATTAAACCTGCGACCATGTATGTATTAGACATTTTGGTAAAGAGAGAAACAGAGGCATCAGCTGATTGCCACCTGGTATTGAGTTGGATCAGGCGGCAGTGGGAGATGCTGGAGAAACCTGGTTTACTCTATGTACAGTAAAGGCTCTTAAGGAGTGTCTGGGAAAAACCTGCTCCACAGGATCTTCAAATCCCAGCTTTGGTAAAGCTTTGAGAGCATTCCAAGGGTCCACAATGAGTCCCTCATATCGTGCACCTCTGTTGCCAAAGCTGATTTATGGAGCTGTGGCTCCAAGATAGTTGATGTCTGAGTGGCAGTAAAACCCCAAACCAGATAGACCACAGAGGTGAAGGTAGCAGCTAAGATGAAGAAGGAGTCCTGTGAAGCGTGGGACTCTGGAGGCAGTTGACAATATAACCGTGGCAGTAGCTAAAGCAAAGACTTGGTCAACTTCAAGGTATTTCTAGCTAATCATCAGATGAAAGAGGAAGGGGTAGTGACTTCCTCCTCACACTGCATAGAGTGGGCAAGGACAGCTAACCTCAAATTAGAGAGTATAATTTGGTGGTAAATGGCCTGTATTTGTATAGCGCTTTTCTAGTCCCTAAGGACCCCAAAGCGCTTTACACAACCTGTCATCCACCCATTCACACACACATTCACACACTGGTGATGGCAAGCTACAATGTAGCCACAGTCACCCTGGGGCGCACTGACAGAGGCGAGGCTGCCGGACACTGGCGCCACCGGGCCCTCTGACCACCACCAGTAGGCAACGGGTGAAGTGTCTTGCCCAAGGACACAACGACCGAGACTGTCCGAGCCAGGGCTCAAACCGGCAACCTTCCGATTACAAGGCGAAGTCCCAACTCTTGAGCCACGATCGCCCCATAATTTGGTGGTAGAAAGAATGATGTCTTCAATCCCACTTACACACCTTCTGCAGTGGTCCGGGACAAAGGGAGATGAATTGAACCTCATGTTCAGAAGGAGCAATGCAGTCCAACCACCCTTTGTAGCTTGGTCATATGGGAGGGGCTTAGAGTAGAGCCAGTACTCCTTCACACTGAAAGGAGCCAATTGAGGTAATTAGTGCATCTGATCAGGGTGACTCCTTGATGCCTCCTAGGTGAGGTGTTTCCTACCATGTGCTACCAGGAGAAGGATAGAGGGCAGATTCAGGATAGTATCTCTCCACGACGCTGGCAAGATTAAATCTCTTGGTTGGCATGGGAATGCTTCTTCAGTGTCCCCACAGATGATCTTGGGAGAGGAAATATCAGGGTATCTCTGCTCTGACCCAAACTTGAATAAGCAACAGAAAATGGATAGATGGACTAAACTTCATCATGTAATGAGCATCGTCAAGGAATTTATTTGCAATTATAATATAGTTCTCTTCTTATCTTTTATCTTCTGTTAATCCACTTTTCTTTTGAATAGTTCAATAATGTTGCGACAGGTGGTACAGGTTCAGCCACAGAGCACGGTTCAAGAGGAAGGGCAATGGAGCACTGGTCTGTGTGAGTGCTACAAAGACATGGGCGACTGTAAGTATATTAAATTATTACATTGTCTTTGCTGATAACCCAGTGATTGACTGATAGTTGGATTGAACTCTTATTACCTGTCAGTGATTTAATATAGTGTATTTATGTAATCTATGCAGGCTGTTTTGCCCTGTGCTGCCTCCCAGTCTTTACCTGTAAAGTGACCAGTGCAGTGGGAGCTTGCCCCTGCCTACCTCTGCTGGACTGTATAGGCTGTGTACCACCAGCCTCTCTTGCCATGAGGGCGTCTGTCAGGCAGCGATATGGCATAAAGGTACTAGAAAACAGCATAACTGTTGCCTTTTTTTTTTTTTTTAGAAAAAAACAAAAACAAACCCATAAAATTGTTTCCTGATGAAATTCTAAGATATACCACACTCAAATCACATGAGATTCACATGAGATTTTAAAATAAAACCTGTGAGGTCTAAGCATCTCTAATCTCACTACCCACATAGCAAGCAGGTCTGACCCAGATCTGGCATCAAGCTGGCACTTCTGACTGATCAGTGTTATGGCAGGATGTTATGTCAACCAGATGTGGGGCAGGTCTGGCAATGATGGCACTATTTATGTTCCTATTTTCCTATTTTAGTTAGAAGACCCAAATGCCATGTTGCAATACTATACTGCTACGGTAGCCAACGTTTCAAATGCAGGTTGGACAGGTTTGTGAGTGTACACTTTATCAAAAACCTAGTGACGGTTTACTCATCTTTGCTAGTTGGTAGCTGTAGCTCAGGCGGTAGAGCAGGTTGCCTACTGATTGGAAGGTTAATGGTTTGATCCCTGGCTCCTCCAGTCTGCATGTCAAGAGTGTGAATGTGTATGAATCTAGTTAGAAAGCTCTCAGTTTAGAGAAAGTGGGTGAATGTTGTATGAAGCACTTTAAGTAATCCAGGAGAGTAGAAAAGCTCTGCGTAAGAGTCAGTCCACTCTACTCTGTCTGAATAGAGTTTCATTGTGTTACTTTTGCATTATTATGTTCCGGCACATGTTGTTATTAGATGGCTTGATTAAGGTAAACATTAGGCTGACATCTGGGGCCAGAACTGAAATTGTTCTGGGCCAGCACAGGGCTAGCAGTATGTCTGCAACTGGCCCGTGGCTGCACACAACTTACACATGGCCCACATACTGCAATGAATGATGGCCCTTTGGTGGCCCAGATCAGGTTTGCCAGAGGTAATCCACACATGGGCCAGCACAGGACCACCAGTGTGTCTGCAACTGGCCTTGTGCTGGCCCATGTGTGGGCCACCTCTGGCAAACCAGGTCTGGGCCGCCAAAGGGCCGTCATTCTTTGCGGTATGTGGGCCATGTGTAAGCACATTGTGTGGGCCAGATCCGGCCCATACCAATTTTGCTATGTTGGTAGGGGCAGCTAGCTTCTCTGAGCCTCACCAAAACATTAATAATAGAATTAATAATAAAATTAAACATTAATGACAAAAAAAATCTCAGTATATGTATATTTGAAATAAGTAAACCTCCAGTAACACTCACATAACACTTACATAATACAACCTAAAGAAATATGCACAAATAGATATTTTAGTTCATGTCTTCCAGTCAGTCTCAAATTTGGAACTTTATAGCCTAAGGCGCTGGAGAAATTGTGCCTTAGACTGTAAAGTTCCAAGGTGGGTCTTTGTAGCAGTTTTGTAATTTTTTGATTCAAGTTCTTATTTCTTCCAGTGTTTGGGCTTAAATCCTATCCAAATCAATTTTTAATGGACAATGGAGTGGTGGCAAATGTTTTTTCTTTCTTTTTTTGAGGTAGAAATGACTGTCTTTGACTGACAAGATGAAGTACTAAGCTAAAGTTATAACTCAGTGCTAGCAAGCTTTGGTTTCAAAGAGACAGTAACTATTTACTGCTAAGATACAGATAAAATACTCGATACTCACATTTTAGTGAGTCCAGAGCTCCAGAGGTTGCTGCTTAGTAAACACAAATGGTTAGTTAATGAAAAGTAACATTTTGCTAATGCTAATAAGGCTAACAATCACATAGAAAGGCTACATGTCTTGTTGTCCTGGACACTACAAGTTTTTTAAATTCCCCTAAAAAGACTGACACCATGTCTTCCAAAATATATTTTCCCATGTGTTTCACTGGTGATAATGTTCGAAACTACTATCTGAACCTGGGGAGCTGCTTTTCACTTCACACAGAGAGGACAGATGGTTTGAAAGAGGAGTGAAAGAAGCCATCTATGTCCACTGTGAGCGACCATCTTTGAACAGAGGCGGGGGTTTACGACACCAACTCTCTGCCATCTTAACACCCACTCACATCCTGGGCCATCTGACCTCAGGAATTCGCATGATAAGGTGGGGCCAGGTTTCACAATGAACACACCCGAAACTCTGGCTGATTGGGACCCACACCCAGTTTCACACCTTGGCTCAGGCGATTAGAGGATCATCAGGGGGTCCTTTTGTCCCTCGTCCCTCTGTGGGGCGAAACTCCCACTAGGTTTATATCTGGGACTCTCCACCATTTGACCTTAGAACTGAAGAAGCTTCTCGGATGAGAGGTGAAACGTCTTCAAGCAACTTAAAGAAGTCCAGATGCTTTTCTTTGCAATCTCCTTTGACTACGATGACCTGGATGACTGAGAACCTTCACAGATGTATTAATAAAACTTAGCTGTTCTGCAAAACATATGTGGGTCTGTATTATTGTATAAGCGGGTTTCAATGTTTACCGTCACTTCTTCTGTTGGCTGTATTTAACAGGATGTAGGCATATTCTGTATAAATTCAGTGTTGGACACTGATGTGATTAAAGCTTTTGTCACAGTTTTCTCAGTGAATAAATGATAGAGCCGTTTACCACAGGGCTCTTCCATGTTCAGTCTGGAAGACAAGTTAAACTTTACTCTAACTGTTAGCGATTATAAAGTCTTTCATTCAAATGAAGGAATCTATCCCTGCAGCTGTAGTTGATGTCATGATAAACAGAATGTGACTGATTGCTTCCCAATGCAGCGCATTATGTCCCCAGCTCAATTACACAGAGCTGCTGGGCCTTTGCATAATTCTGACTGTAGCTGAGGAGATTGAGGTATATAACTGATGAATCACAATAACAGCACACAGGAGAAATTGATCCAACGTCACTTCGTGCTATCGTAATGACACCAGTTATTACTTGAGCAACGCAAACATCATTGTTAGTCTGTGCGGTAACATTAGATATTTGTTAATTATTAAATAAATAAGCGTGCATAACTGCTATGAATAAACAAATGAATAAACAACTAAGTACTGAAGTCCGGCACCCACCTACTGCCTCACTGCTGTGTTTGTCCACACTGTGCACTCATCCACCTGGATGTGTGAACACAGACTCCTGATAGACATCAGGTCGCCGTCACTGATCAGTGCTCAGCTAATATGAAACAGCTGTTTCCCATGCAAACAACAAATGTTCAGTTTGATGTGGGATAAGGCCAGCCTGTCCTTTCTGGGACAGTGAAGAAAAGGAGAGATATGGTGGGAGTGGTTGAAGGCCAGCAAGGCAGATGCTGGAGCGCTGCCATCGGAGAGAAGGAGGTGGTTGGTAATGTTGGCTTTAATGGAGGTGGAGTGGGCTGTCAGTGGCTGTCAATACCGCAGAGCATGAGCTAGGAGGGTGCCAAAAATTCTTATGAAAACAAGTCCCAGCATGTAGGCTGTTTGTGAAACAAGGCAACTATTCTCTCACAACAGAAAAGAGATAAGGCCTTAACGGTACATACCATGAAAATAAAACTTCCTTACATACGCTGACGTTCAGAGCCATCTTTCTGTAAAAATTAAATATATTTATCCCGCTATGTTTCTTCAGTTACCCCCAGTTTCACTGTTCATAGACATTCATGGTTCCCAGAGAATCACTGGAGTAGACACTGGTGATTGCCAAGGCCAGCAGGATTTCTTGTAGTGCTACTATGAGATTCGCATTTTAGATGAACTGTCTAATAAATGGACTCGCATGGAATTTGGTACAACTTGTTCTCATTATTTTTTGGGCTTGAAAGTGAAATATCTTAATTTTTATCTGATGTATTGCCAGGGACTTGTCAAAATACCCGCAAAAGTCTTTCAACTGCGGAAACACATCAAACGTGGCCGAGCTGTTGAATTCTCCAGTTTTTCTTTCACTTGTCTTTTATCATTAGCATGACACTGACGTAGTTTATAGCGAAAAATCTGTCTGATGTGTACGCTGAAAGTGTTTGTAATTTGTGTTTATCAGATGTCGGTAACAGTTTATGGCTGGCATGAGCATGAGCTTAGTGTTAAAAAGGTTTAGTCTGCTTTGCTGGCTAGAAACAAAGAGTTGAAGGGAAGACAGATGCTCTTTTGGAGTTTTTCTGTAGGAGTACAGTGTACTTTCCTCCTTTTGTCAGTTCTGTACAAAAGGTTTGCATTGGACTTCAAGAATTCTGGCCCTAATCTATGAGCACATGCAACTAATAGATCACTTGATGATCTACAAAGCAAAAACTTGTTTAGCTGTATCCATAAACCACAGAGGTGCAGTGCACAGACTAATGTATCTGTTAATCAAAACAGAAGAACAGGACTTCATTTGCCAAAACTTCCCAGACCCACAAAACTTCCAATTAGGCCTAATACAGTCTGTCTGTTGGTAAAGGTCATATTACATCATAATCAAGCCAAAATGAAGTTAGAAGTTTAACTTACACAAGGCTAGACCTGCTGTTCTAGAGTGAGGAGTGATAGTAGAGAAAGAAAACCGACAGAAACTGGCCTCAAAGTTGCTGTGCTGACTCAGTATCATGAAGGGAAAAATCACATGCCGTAGCTGTGCATGGAATGAACATCGGCTGTTTTGCTGTTTCTCAGACTTTATTGATTTATCAAATCTCACCCACCAGCATTTTCATCCTGACATTACTGACAAGTCCTTTCTCTGTTGCTATGAGCAAAGACTTGGCTGCAAGAAAGCCGATGTCCTCAGAGAAAGGATTCTCACTGAAACACAAGAACACTTAGTACTCATGCACTGACAAAGATACTGCCTGCTTTTATCCACACTACATGCATTTTTGAAATCTGGCCTTCTTTGTCAAAAAGAAATGTTGCAAAATTATAATGTAAATATTTGACTGTATTTGTAGTCTAACTTTAAGTAATCGTGCTGGTTTACTGCAGTACCAATCTGCTGCATGGCGTTTCTTTCACACCTAAATGCAAATGTTCACCTTTTGTTTGAGCCTCCCACTTGCGTTCAGGCTTCTCTTTGTGTGTCTCACAGGGGAGTGTGTGGAGCGACTGTCTGTATGGTTGCTGCTGCTATCCGCTATCTTGGCTCCAGATCTCCAGAGAGCTGAAAAGAAGAGCAGCATCCCACGCCTCTTCTTCTTCAGCCAGATACACCCATCTAACATCCCTGCAGGGGGCGCACTTGGTCTAGACACACCTAAAACTGATTTTCTCCCCACAGTGTGTCCTCCAGAGTACAGGAGTTGATTTAATCACATTTCCTCTGCTCTGGAGCCACTCCCGGTTACCTCAGAGAATTCAGCAGGGACACAATGCGTCCTGCGGAGAGGAAAGTTCAGTTTGTCCCAAGATGAAGTGAAAGAGCTGTGATAAAAAGGCATTTCAATATCAGAGCTGGGGGCTTTGTGTTCCTTTGAGTAACTACTTTGATTGTGAGATTATATTCTTTGACTGGTGGAAACTAATAGAGCTCAACTCTACAAACAATTTCTTTTCAGTAACCTTGGAAGATATAGTTTCCCTTATGATGATAAGTGTATGTAAGAAAGTGTTCTTCTCTTTCCTAATGCTAAGGTAGATTTGGGGGTTTCAGGGATTTCAGGGTTCAGCTGGCAGTATTTCTGTGCACATAGCGAGTACTATTTATGCACATTGCTGTATTAATGTAGCCTTTTTAGTGAAGTGAAACTTGTTATTGTTCTATACATGCAAGACACTACAACATACTGATGGTGTAAGCATTATAAATACATATATGGATATGGAAACACTGGACATTGTTATCATAACGTCACCATTTGGTTTCATTCGAGGTGAGAAGTTCACAATGTGCATCTTTGTTTCTTTAAACCTTTTTAAGTGACAGACACTTGTGAATCACAAGGTAGCCACACGCTAATGCATGCTTCACTTTATTATTTATTCTACTCTAAATCGGGCCATAATTTACAAAATGAACACCATGCTGCAATGTTATGTCGCAATGTTATGTACAGTGACATGAATTTTATCGCTTGAGAAAATGTCTTTATATGTCCTGCTGTGACAAAACAAATTTCCCACGTGTGGGACTAATAAAGGTTATCTTATCTTATCTTATCTTATAAACTGTTATTATGGGTTTCATGCAAAGAGAAGAGAGCTTTTATCTACAGTCCTAATTTAATGCTATTTTTGACACCGTCTTCATATTAAGTGCTCACCTTCTAGAAGAATGAAGGAAACACAAACTACACAGAACGTTATTTATGAGCAAAAATGCATCTGTTTTTGGTTAATAATGATTATATGGCTGTTTATACTGAATGTACATATCAAATTAAGATTTTGAGATGAAACCAGTCATCCATATTTGTGTCTTCTTATCCAGTTCAGTTTGGTTTAGTGAGTGGGCTGTTGGGGAAGAATTGAAGAATGTCAAATATTTACATTTTGCTTCTGTAAACTCTTTGATTATTCACTGTAAATATTCTGTTTCACTGCTAATATTCCATTTCCTGTGCATATCTATTTAGCTGATCTCTGTGTCGCTGCTAAATATTTAGTGTTGGATTGTTTCAGTGACTCGTAATAAATGCTAAATGTTGTAAAGCTGATTTTAAAACAATAGTGTGATGTGAATCCAAGGAAATGCCCAAGTCAACAACTTGTCAGTGAATTTGATGAAGAACACTTGCAGTATTCAAAATATGGGCACGGAGCCACATACCACTGCTCCGCAGTACTCCTTTGTTCTACTCTATATCCCTTTAAAGGTTTAAACACGTAATTTTTATCAGCATTTTACGCGTAAGCATCAACTTTGAGTTGGATTTTACCCACATGCTAAATCAGCATAATTTGAGAAGCTGCTGATTTAGCAACTCTCGTTCATGCATTTTGACCTTAAAGTTTTTCTGTCTTAATGTTTTGTCAACATCCTTAATCACGCCCACATGGTTAAAAACATGGGGACTCAGGGGCTGGTGTGTGTTGTGGTGTGACAAATATTGAATAAAATGGCTCAAACCTATGATCCCTGGACCCGCCGTGTCTCATTCACACCACATGCCTCTATTTAGGTACACCAGTTCCATTTAAGAGGAACATTCCAACCTAACCTTTACCCTAAATGGGTTACTGGGCGATTTGTTAGATGTTAACGTTAAGTTCTAACTATTTATGATGATGAGGAGGGTATGAATTAGTGTATTTCTCTGATTTACTCACGTTGCCACTGCCATGTGTGAACACATAGCATTGAGGTTTTGAGGGCACCTTTGCCATCAGGTGAAGCATCCACCAAATATGGCCAGATGGTCATTACATCCCCCGGCCTCTGTCATGACCTCTATAACCAACCTGTGAGCCTTTGGCATCTGCAGCTGTTTTACGGTTCAGTATAAATACAGGATCAGGACATAAACTGAGTGCAACTGAGTGAGGTAAACAATAACTGTGTTTACTTTTAAAAGGTGTAAAAGATCAAAAGGAGGCGTTTGCACATATCTAACAGCTAAAATCTCATTGATGTGTACCGACTGCTTTGTTTTTTGGTGCCTTAGGTAATGCCTTTCATGCATTACCTGTAAGATAGCAGGAAAAGTTTGGGAGTATCTGCGTTTACCTGCCCTGGATCCTTCTGGACTCATCCCATGGATGACCACAGTTGTCAGGGTGTTGACATGCCAGTGATACAGTATTGAGGCGCAAGTTCATATGACATTTATTATTACTGAGGCTTTTTTTAAATAAATAAATGGCACCGTAACTGCGTCAATACTTAGCAAACCATCACAAAAGTCACAGCTGCTTTCACGGTTTATCTGATTTGGGATCAGCTTCGACGTGTTCAGTCTGTTTTTACTTTCTCAGATTCCGTCTGAGAAAGCTCGTGGTTGTTTCAGAGGGTCGTACTCCACTCTGCACTCTACTTTTGTTCCAGGCGTTTTTGTTTAGATTGACTTGGACTATGATTAATGACCACAGCCAAGCAATCAGCTGTGTTATAGAGCTGTTATAGCTTTGAACATGAACTATTTGATAACATTTGTTTCTTCTGTATATTTAACTCCCTTGATCCTTGCCCCTAGCTCGTGTCTGCACAGGGAACGGTATGCAATAACTGCATGTACCACTTCTTTCTGCGGGCCTTGTACATGGTGCCAGATAGCAAGAGGGAGCCAAATGAGGAAGAATACCATCACTTTTGTCAACATGTCCCAATATGAATCATTAACAGAGACGTTACTACCATCATTCATGCTATTTGAAAAAAGCAAGGGCCATTTAGATGGATTTCTAATTCTGCTTCAAGCATGACACTTCTAAGAAAAGGATTAAAGATCAGCACATGACAGCCTTAAATCATCAACATGGAGTTCAGCAGACACTGGGTTTCTGTTATATACACCTATACAGCCTATGGAGGCATGCTGGTAAACTGATGATGGCTATTTATGTGCACACATTTGCAGTTATTGTTGTTTTTTATGTATTTTTGCTTTGCTTTGTATTTGCTTGAGTCTTAGAATTTATTGCATTCTTTAAAAGTATATGGATGCCCTTCAGCTTGTGGTCTCTGCTCACTGTCTTGTTATAACTGAATAACGATTCCAAAATGAAAGTTGGATCAAAATCTGTGATGTTACTTTGACATCAGTTGCAGATGCAGGTCCGACACCTGGATTCTTATTAGACCTAGCAAGAGAAATCCTTGCATTCAAGGATTGCTTTTTATGCCTATTTATCAGTGAGAAAATAAACAAATAAACAAATAAATAAACAAAACAATGTAAAAGTGTCTAAAGAAAAAAAATGAAAAGAACAAACATGCACAAACTCAGTGGCTCAAACACAGTACTTCAAAGATTTTGATGCTTCACTTGTCTTGCTGAGCTAAATGACTTCATGTTTAAGTGTTAGCATTCCTGAGTTTATGATCTTAACAAAGCTTGGATAACTGCAAAAGTCTAGTGTGTTAAGTTTACCATGCAACAAATGAAATGGAATTTAGATGAGCAAAACAATAATACTTTAGTGTTATTTTATGTGGAGGAGACATTTTTTCATAGCCATGTAGTAACCATAGCACCTTAATTACCTAGGAGATAAAAGCCACTGACATCAGGACCAGGAAGCTCCTGACCATGCACGGAGGGTTTCACCCCAAGTCCAGCACTCTGAGCCTGTATGCTAAGCCTCCAGCTGCTTCTCTGTCTGCAAAACCACACATGAAAGCATTTCTGTCTCCATCTGCTGGATGTGCTGCAGCGTGCTGTGGATGCCAGATGTTGTTCGTCCCATCGCACCCTCTGCATGATTCTACGTATATTCAGACAGATGCCTTGCACCTTTTCTCCCTTGAGACATTTTGTGTCTCTACTTAGGGACACGTGACAGCTGACTATATCCACAGGCCACATCCTGCTTTTAATCCTGCTCAATCCTTCCAGTATTTTAGGCTTCTGGGTTTTTATGATATTGAAATATCCAAAACACATTACTGGATGTCTTTGTCTGGATATCTCATCTCAAAAATCCGTTCTGGCTTGCTCAGCATTCTCAAGCTGATGCATATTTGGTTCTACTTTTGGATGTGAAAGTAAAATTTTATCAGCTTTCCTAATCCAGGAATATCATCCTATCTTTTCCATGGTATGAGATATGTAGTGCTGCCCAAACCTGTTAGGAGGTCATTTGTGAGAAGACGGGCGTGCACACGGAATACATGGATTAACATGAATGAAAGTGGTCTAAGGAGATTGCAAAGAAAAGTGTCTGGACTTCTTTAAGTTGCTAGAAGACGTTTCACCTCTCATCTGAGAAGCTTTTTCTGTTTTAAGGTCAAATGGCAGAGAGTCCCAGATTTAAACCCCGTGGGAGTAACCCCCCAAAGAGGGACAAAAGGACCCTTGATGATCCTCTACCTAATCACATGAGCCAAAGTGTGAAAACAGGTGTGGGTCACAGGATGTGAGTGGGCGTTAAGGCGTCTGGGGAGGGAACTCAAAACTGGATTATAGATGGCAGACAGTTGGTGTCGTAAACCACCGCCTCTGTTCAAAGATGGTCGCTCACAGTGGACATAAATGGCTTCTTTCACTCCTCTTTCAAACCATCTGTCCTCTCTGTCCAAAATGTGAACATTGGCATCCTCGAAAGAGTGTCCTTTATCCTTAAGATGCAGATGGACTGCTGAGTCTTGTCCTGTGG